CTGGCCGCCCCGTCCAACCCCGTGAAGCCGCACAGCCTTCCCGAAGTCCACCCAGGGCAAACAGGGTCGGCGTTGATGTTTCCAAATGGCGATCTAAAAGGCTTCGCAGTCTGGAGAGTGAGTGTTTTAAGGATTTCGAGCCATCTCACAGAAGAAGGGGTGGGAGGAAGGGAGAGCTTTCTTAAGTTGGAAGCTTGTTGTTTAGGAGGACAACAGCATTGAGGGGGGACAGACACCTGTCCATCTGACCTTGCGCAAGTCAGCTGAACTCAGCCTCGGCCCCCACCTGCCTGACCTACTTGACGAGGTGGTTGGGAGAGTCAGGCGACTTGACAGCCACACCGTGAGATGTGTAAGACATGGGAGAGCGTGGGCTGCCTCCACAGCGCCCGGCCGCGCCCACACAGCACTGGGAAGGGTCCATGAGTCCTGCCCCTGGAAACAGTGCCACCGACAAACCCTCAGATTCGCTCCAACTCTGGTGAGAAGCCTCAGTGCAGGCAGGGCACCGGCCCTGCAGCCGCGTCCTCCGCGGGACTACTGCGATCCTGAAGACCAGGGTGTTCTGGACTGTGCTGTACGTGGTCAGGCTTTGTCACAGCCAAGGGGAGCTTCTGCTCCCCACAGACTACCAACAAATCCAGTTACACCTTGAATGCAGATGAACGGACTGCTTGGAAGCTGTCCTAACTGCCTGAGACTGGTGCTACTGGGGTGTGGACGTCAGCCCCTCGGCTGGCTCGTGCAGCCCCGTGCTCGGCGGCACGCCGGCGGGAACCGGACTTTGCTTCCTTTTCCTCGACTCCCTACATCGAGACTCCACAGCCCCCAGAGGTCCTGGCAGAGGTTGGGGAGGGAAGTGGGCAAGTAATGGACTCCCCTGGTGATTAATACCAGGAACAGCACAAGAGGGGGCCCTGACCAGGGAGGCCATTTGGAATTCAGTGGTTTCTTTTCAGAAAGAGTGGAAAACTAAGTACAGAGGGCAATCAAGAGCATTCAAACGGCCATTCGCGGGCCAGACCTCACGGCAGGTGCTGGGGATCCGGCGGCGAGCAACAGGTAACACGTTCATTAGCCAGGGGAAAGCTCACAGGAGCCTTAGGTGGGAATGGGGAGGTTCAAGCGATTCAGTTTTAAGTACTTCAAGAAGTAGCATGACAGGGCCAGGAACGAGGTGCACAGACGCTGGTGTGCTGGACAGACGGAACGGAAGAGGAGCGGTGGACGCTGGTGTGCGCGTGGACAGACTGTCCCGAGGAGGAAGGAGGCGGGCGGGAGGGAGGCTCACTGGGCTGAGTGACAGCCCCCGCCCTCCTGCCATGTCCTCCGGTTTGATGTCACTTGAGGGAAGCTCCTCAGTTCTCCAGACCCCTCCTTCCACTTCCTCTCCCAGCTGATGACTCACTCCTGCTCCAGGAGAAGCACCCAGACAGGCAGCCCCTCCCGGGCCCGCGGGGTCCGCAGACCACCGCACACACAGCTGCCCGCTGCCTCCCCCTGCGCGGGGGGTGCTCACATGTGGTCTCCCATGGAAGTTCAGATCCGGGGGCAGTGACAGCCAAATACCACCATGCCGTTTTGCTGCTTAGCAGACCGTTTTCAAAATTCTTTCACTACCTCAGAAGCAGCTAGAAAACACAGTAATGGTGACAATTTAAAAGCTTCTCCACCTGACTTCCCCCCACAGAGACTGCATAACATCTCTCCGGACTGCTTACTCTTCGTCCGTGTAAATATGCTCTCCGTTTTCATGCACTTAGAAGCGGGTATGGGAGCTCAACCAGAACACACGTGTAAGATGCGGTATAACAACTGTGCTGGGAGGGGTGCATGACCCTGACCCTGGAGGTCAAAGGGCCCTTCCCAGGGTTAGGGGTTGTGTTTTGTCCCCCCAAACATCTGTGCACAGCCTAACCCCCAGTGCCTGTGACCTGACTAGGAATAAGGTCTTTGCAGGTGCACTGAAGTTAACAGGACATAGGGGGTTAGGGTGGGCCCTACTCCAATGACTGGTGTGGACAGAGACACAGCGGGTCTACAAGCAAGGGGACCCCGAGGGACAGTGGCGGCCACCTGAAGCTGCAAGGCAAAGAAGGATCCTCCCCTGGAAACTTCAGAGGGTGCATAGCCCGGCCCACACCTTGATTTTGGACTTGGGGCCCAGAACTGGGGTGAATGTATTTCTGTGGGCACTCATCCAGTCTGGGGCCCTCTGCTGTGGCAGGGAACTAACACACAGGGAAAAGGGCAGAGCTGCCGCAGACTCCGAAGCAGGAGCTCTTAGAAGGGAGGAGGCGGAGGGGGGTGGGCACAGCGTGTGCAAAGGCCCTGAGGTAAGGAAGGCTGTGGGTGGAGTCTGAGTGTGACAGGAAGGTGACGGAACACCACGAATCAGCTGAGGTCCAGGACCATCCTGCGGCAGATGAGTCAGCTCAGCTGAGACGACTGACGCTGCCACGCGGGTGAGCCTTCATCCATTTCTAGACCGAAACCCGGGTCGGGGACGAGCAGGCTCCACAGAGGGCTGAGTTCCCAGAAAGCCTGGGCTACAGACGAGTGTCTGTGCCGCCCCCCCCCCCGACTCCTACGTCGAAGCACTGACCCCGCGTGATGGCAGCAGGACGGGGGCCTGTGGGAGGTCCACGAGGGGAGGACTCGCGCCCTCAGGAGAGACCCAGACGACTCCCAGCCCCTTCTCCAGGGGATGTCACAGCAAAAAGACACCGTCCATGAACCCCCACGAGGGTCCGCCCCAGACGCCGAATCTGCCGGCACCTTGATCTTGGGCCTGGGGCATCCAGACCTTCAAGAATGAACATCTGCTGTTTCTCAGCCCCCAGTCTGTGGGCCTAAGAGGCAGCCTGGCAGAGGCGAGCAAGGTCGTCCAGAGCGGGAGCTGCGGGCTGGCCTCCCTGGTCTCCAGAACTCGGCATCAGCTGCGGCTCTGATGGCATCGACGGAAAACCCAGCTCCATCCAGACCCCCACAGGAGCGTCTGAGAAGAGCTGGCTGCTGGATCTGGGGGTACGGACAATCCCGCCTTAAGGTGTCAGTAACACCCACGCGCTCACTGTCACCACGCCTGTTCCCTCCAGGCTTATCAGACGGAAGGCAGTTTCCAGCTCGCAAGAGCCCTGCCTCAACGTCATCGGAAACCACTTGAAAGGGAAGTTATGGAATTGCAGAAAAACGAGCTTGCAGTCCCTGGAGGTTGCTGCTCCAGGGTCGGCTGACAGTAGATAAAGCACCACCAGAGCAGGGCCGCAGTGAGTGTGAGGACCCAGCCTGGGGCGCCGACCTCCCTGCCACAGAGCACTTTGCTGGAGGGAGGAAGAGGCAGATCACCCGGCAGCTCGTTCACCTTCCAAACTGTCTGCTCACATGCTCACGATCCTATGACCGGGTAAGATTCTGTAGCTCTTACAGGGGCAGAAAAACCTCTCCGTGCATAAACAAGTCATAGGACGCTGGCTTCGCTCCTAGCACCCGGCCCGCCAGGCCCGAAGTCACGTCAAGCCCGGCCTTTCTGATATGTGGGGAGAGACTCTGCTCAGGTGCACTGTGCACACCCTTCCCTCGGCGGGCGGGGGATCTGGAGACCTGGCAGTCCTGGTGGCCGACTTGATCACCTCGAGGGAATGCTGCGTCCCACCGGCTCCTGGGAGGCTCCAACGGGCAGGCCGGGCACAAGCTGCCCAATCCAGGGGCCCGGCAGCTGGAACGAGGCAGGCCGGCGGCTTCAGAGCAGAAGTACCTGCAGCATAACAGGGGGTGGCCAGGGCATGCCCTTTCTTGTAGACGCTCTCCTGCCTTGCTCGGAGGGTTTGGGCCCACATTCCTCCATAGCCGTGAACCTGGGATGGGAAAGTGAGTTCCTGCAGGTGTTGTGGAAACAGCTGGTTAATATTTGACAAGCACCTGAAGACAGGAACCGTCAGGGATAACAAACCCCAGCAGGGGCCTTCTGTGACCAGCCCACGGGCTGTCTTCCACGGCATCTCCCCTGTGAACCGTGGCAGGGACTCATGCGGATGGCATCTCCTCAGTAGGTACGTGCATGCCACTCGGCTCCCAACAGCAGCTCTGGTGATTAGCCCCACCTACGCCATGACCACAGGTCCACGAGTGCCACATGACTCAGCGCACGGTCCGTGGCAGTAAGAAGAAACACACACACTCTGCGCACGGCTCGGGGCCAGAGCTAGTGATCAAAGGACAGAACAATGTGCCTTCGACTCAGAGCATATTTCCACCCACCTCCAGAACAACTCATAAATTCCCTGACACCGGGCGTGACGGCTCCTGATGGTTATGCACAAGGAGGAAATGCGTTGGCTCCCGCCGCAGGTTTCTAAGTGGCCTGGGGCCCAAAGAGTATCATTTGAGTCTTAACTAAACCAAACCTGTGTTTCTTTCTGAAAACACAGAAAACATCTGAATCCCAGAACTGCTGATCTAAAATGTCCAGATTCAAATCCCCAACCCCTATCCATGTGGCCTCACAGGAGACAGCCGGTCTCATCAGGCACGCAGCATGGTACTGGGTGACTTCTTTCCAGAACCTTCCAGATTCCAATCAGGGAAAACAGTGCTCCGCGTGGTCATCAGCCCATCACGGTCCCGCCGGAGACACGGTCGGAGGCTTCCTGTGGGCCCTGCCGTTCCCCCGGGGTGAGTCTGCACTTCTCGAGACACAGTGGAAAGAGAAAGAACGCGGGAGGGTGACAATTATATTTACAGATGAGGCAGCTCGGAGGCCGGGAGAGGGCGCGTGACCCCAGGTGGCACTCGGCAACCTCACGGAAGGCCAACTTCAGCGTTCCAGCTCCGCTCGGCCGTGAACCGACCGGGGCACCCGGACAAGGCACTTCATTTCTTCTAAGAAAGGATTTCTTGATGTGTTGAGTCTTGGGTTTATTAAGGAAAAGAGCTCCGTCCAAAGGCCAGAGAGGGCACTTCGTCCCCCACTCCAGATGCTGTAAGGAGCATCTACTTACAGCATCTACTCTCCTGGTGCAAAAGACGCCAGCGGCAGCTCCTCACATCCTTCCGCGTGAAAACCACCTCGGAGCAACAGTAAAGAACAAAGCCTTACAGGAATACATCATGCAATGAAGTCCCTTTTAAATCTGTTACTGAGAACGGCATTTAAATGAGTAATTATATAACAAACGCTGAAGGTACAACAAGCACATTATGAACACGAGACTCTGCTGAAAGCTTACATCCTGAACTTGAGCTTTCCGTGCGGACTCTGCACGGCATTTGGTTTCTAAATGGTATATTTCGGGCTTAAAAAGATCAATATCCTTTCAGGAGGCACTGATTTAGTACTACTAGGCTGAGGCCTCACGGTTTTCTTGCTCCATCAAAATCAAGATTGTCCAGGATGGCCCTGTTATAGGATACCCAGCGCTTACCCAACGCGCTGCTATAATACTATAATCATGTGTCTCAACCCTTCCTACTCCTTACAAATTACAGCATTTCTTATTTGACCCCCTTCGCAGAATTTAAACAAGGCGTGGTAACATCTAAAGACAGAGTAGAACCGACCTAAAAGAGCAAAAGGGCATGACGGAGTGGCAGAAAATGGGCACGGGGGAGCAAAGCTGGATTCCCACCCCATCGGCCTCCAGCTGCGAAGCAGCCTTGCACAGGTCAGCTGGCCTCTTGGAGCCCCACCTGCTGTCCTTCTGGGGCAGCGAGGGGCTGGAGGAGGCTGGCTCGGGGCCCAGCAGCCAGTGAGAGCACTCTGCTTCGGAGAGCGCCGGCTCTGCACACGACGTAAGCATTCCCCGACAAAGATTAAGCAAAGCCGCCCACGTCCTGTCAGACCGTGACAGCTGGTTTCCTGAAGCCAGAGGCCAAGTCCAGGACGAGATGCTATGAAAACTCATTCCTGGAGTGTCTGCTCGGCACCAGAAGGAGCAGCGAGGGAGCAGGGCAAAAGGAGCCGGCTCTATCACACCCACACAAGTGTGCACACGCCCATGCACGCCCCTGCACACGTGCATGCTCTCTCTCTCCCTCTTCTGAGTTCTAGGACGCTAGGACGACATCCGCACGTGTTCTCCAGCCTGTCGCCTTGAGGGGGGTTGTCCTCAGACCTAACCTGACCTGCGTCTGCCTCAAACCCCTTACAGAGTGAGACAGGGTACACACAGGAAAGAGAAGCCCGTGCCAGACCTCTGTCTTCAGGTGGAGCAGGTGTAACGGCCCTACAACAAAGGTGGGGCCCTTAGTTTGTGTGCTGCTCTGTCGCCAGCACCACGGCAGTGACCGGTCCATAGTAGGTGCTCAGTAAATACCTGTTAAGTGACTGGGAGCAAACGGAAGTAACCATGAAGCTAGCCCCTCTACCCCAACCAACCACATGTCCACATGTGCTCACCTGCCACGCACACACACACTCATGAGCAGCACGTCCGTGCTTGGAGACCCGTTCTTGGTTTGTGGCGTCACACCCAACCAGAGCCACACGTGAACCACGGGGAAGCCCAAGGGGTGGGAGCGGCCAGGAGGACCGGCAGAGCTGGACGGAGCTGCCGAGGTCCGTCCAGCCTGGGGCACCGAGAGGAGAGCTGAAGATCCGGGGCCCTGAAGGCCCCTCTAGGGGCAGAGTCCCACCTGAACACAGAAGCCCTTGCTCAGAAGGAACCGAGGACCCCGCAGATAGGAAGTGTGGGTAGATGGCTGGGCTGTCCTAGGTCCCTGCCCTCAGCTCCAGGCCAAAACCTGTGATGCTTGGTTGCACGGGGACCAGCTGTGGTTGCCCTGGTACTGGACGCACAGCCCGCGGCTGGGGGCCCAGGGGCAGCCGCCTGCCCCACATGCGCTGTGTGAAGCCATGGTCAAGGGCAAACGCAGACTCCTATGAGGCCGATAAGGGGGTCCAGCATGGAGTCGGGCACTCTGCCCTTCAGAAGGCGGGGAGAACCCGGGGTCAAGGAAGGATGCACCTGTGCTCAGCTCACCCATCACCGGCTACAACAGATCTGGGTCACAACACGTAGAAACAATTCACTAGTAGATTTGGGTGGGGGGGGGGTGTTGTACTTGAATTAATTACCTGTTCAAGGTGCTAATTTAGAGATTATACTTTAATAAACGTTTGTCCAAATGTTGCTAAACAGAAACACTTGAGACCAGGTCAGTCCAAGCAGAGTCCCTGGCACAGCTGACTGGCCTTCAGGTGGAGGGCAGCCTGGCTCCCTGGGCAGGGAACTCAGGAGGGACCATCTATGCACGAGTCAGGCCCATGGCTGAAGCTGCACTAAGACCTCGGCTTGGTGTTTTTTTCCTTCTTTCCTGAAGCCCACGGGCACCATGTGGGGCCCGGGCTTCCCCTGCTTTTCCCTCTGCACATTGTCACATCTGCCTTCCCTAGGCCTCCATCAGACACTACCAAATGCCCGTGATTCGTCATGAAAGCCATGCTTGGTCTGTGCGGAGTACTCCAGAGCAAGTGACCAGGAAGATGACACTAAGAAGAGGAAGGGGAGATACTGGGATGTGGAGCCCAGAGCAGCCACCCTCCGGGCTCCCACCTGATGACAGGTGTCATGGTCATGAAGTGTCACTCACTGAAGGAGGTCAGGGGCGAGCCCTGTGGGTTGAGTCCAGGGTACATTTTTCAAATTCCTGTCTGAGCCCATGTCATGAAAGCAAGTGAAGTTCAGTCTCAGAGATTCAGGCTCTGAGATGACTGCATCATAGCAACCCTCATGAAACCACCACCTGGAACCTTCTCTATCTGCGTGAGCGAATTTAGTTGGGGTTTTTTTTTTTTTTTTTTGGATTGGTTTGAAATTCTGTCCAAGTTTTAATCTACCTTCACATTAAAATGTACTTTTCCTATAGCACACTTTATTTAGGTGTTGCTAATCCTCTGTAAATGTATATTTGTATATTTATATTTCCATTTAGCGTTAGGACTGTTAGCTAATGTGGCTTTAACCGTGACATTTCCCTGCATTTCCAGGAAGTTTTCCGCCAGGTCTGAGCACTTCCGTCTCCCTTCACAGGACAATTCCCCACAACTAGTCAGTAATGAATAAGGTCAGCTTTCAGTATCTGGTTTAAATCCCTCTCTCTTCCAAAGTAAGTCCTGACATACGGAAATAATGACAGAATAAAAGAATCATCATCTCCCTTTTGGGACGATACCACCTTTCAGAGAGCAATATAACATGATGTATGGAAGCTGCAGAGGCATTCCGCCTGCCTCTGACATTTGATTTATCCTCTTTATATTTCTGGGAAGACAAGTGCAGCTGGTGTTCACACTTCATAAATCCTTGGTCTCCTCTATTCCAAGGTTATTACATTTTCAGACACTTAAAGAACCAGAATAAAAACAACCAGAGCACCCCCACTGCACCCCCCCACACACACGTGCACACACACACACAAACGGAAACCTAGTTCCTAAAATATAAGCATCATATTTATTTTATTAAATTCCTGCTTTAATTTATCTGGTCTTCTACAGCAGCACAGTAAGCCAAATAAGTCATGTCCCACATTCTTCTGACTGATGAAGAACAGACTCGGGCATACCCCTTCTGTAAAGTCCAGACCCTGCTATGCATCAGCTGTATGATGATGATTAGGCACAGCAGAACTCATCCATCTGTGGATGCAACAAATATGAGCCCCACACGCTACGCCAAGGCACATAAATGACACCAATGACACCAAGGCACATAAACCATATTTTAAGTTTCCCAGAACGCACATGCATGATGGAACATTTAAGCACCTTGTAAGCAAAATGCTCCCAAAACAGAGATCAGAGCCACTATTGCTAAAAGCTGAGCAGGGGAGGTGGGCCTCTTGGAGACAGACAACCTGGGAATGAGCAGGCTTGTAAGGAAGCAGGACACAGGGCCACAGGGAGCAGGGCAGGGCTGCTGGGGGAGGTGGGAGGCCTGGGGAGTGCACCGGGTCCAGGGAAGAGGCCACCTCCCTGCACAGCACTACCTCATCTCCTCCCCCCGCGGGGTGGTCCCCCCACTGCATAGTTGTCTGCATGCAGCTCGGGGCCTTGAGCAGACATTTTGCCGAGGGAAACCTGTCTGTGTGCTTCTAAGGCCCCGAATAATACAGAGGGGCCCTTCAGGCAAGAGCTACACCCATTTCATCTTGGTGTACCTAGAAACCCAGAGCGGAGCATTCTGCACATCCCAGTCAGTGGATTTTAAAAAACTAATCATGCATTTGCCGTATTTGGGAAGCCTGCAACCTAGCTCTGTACTGTTTGCTTTCGTAGCAAGTTTAGCAAAAATGTGAGGTTTCAACGATACGGGAGAATATGGATGAAGAATACGAGCATCGTTGTTAAAGATGCTCACACTTACCAGGCAGGACAACGATGCTATTCTCTGAATGTGGACAGAGCAACAAACATAATGAGACAAATGAAAGTATCAAAGTATAGAATTTTATCTTCCATGAGTCACTCCTTCTAACACAAAGTCATTTTATCAGTGAAACGCACAGATTTTGTTGATGTTATTCAAATGCATGTTTGTGAGCATGTGCGTGTGCGCTGGGATAGCCCCATGTAGGCATGGCACACACTCTGGCACGCGTCACCCTTCCCTCTTCCACTCAGAGCAGGGGTCCTCGGAGTTTCCTTGGGAGCTCATTAAAATACATATTCTTGTGCCCGATCCCCGAGACTGTGGTTGGTGTGCCAGAAATGGGGGCCTAGGACTCTGCATTTAATAAAAATTCCAGATGAAATGATGCGGGTGGTTGGCAGACCACCCAAGGGCGAACAGGCACCAGTCCTGGCCCTCAGCCTCGTGAGAAGACACGGAGTCGGGCTGGCTGGCTGTGGCAGGGAGCTGGCTGGCCCACCACCAAGCCGCTCGTGCCCCTCCACTAGCCACCTAAACAGATGCAGGCAGGTTTTTTCTGTGTGCGTTCTGCCTCTAGGTTTCCAGGTCAGACTCTGGAAGGAAGGGTTACATCCGAGTGAGTCTTTCTTCCTGTCTCTTTAGGCTGGTGGTTGGTGGGGAGGTGGCCTCCTGCCTCTACAGGGTCTTTGCGGACGGAGCTGTGCTGTATTTGGCTGCTGTTTACTCCCAGTGGCCAGGCGGCGTTGACAGACACTCCTAACTGGACGGGAGGGTAGGATGTGGACAGGCTGGTGCCTTGGGGCAGGGGGGTCCCACGACGCCCGACTCCACGAGGCAGGGCCGCCACCTGTGCAAGGCGGCTATCCAGCGGTGGGCAAGGCCATCGGGGGCCCTCCCCTTACTTACCACACTGGGGCCACCATGCTCACCACCGCCTCTGACAAAAATCAAACCCTTGCCCGATTTAACTGCAATACAGAGGAGTCATTCTCTGAATTTCAGAAATCATCACTGCGGGAAGGCACATCACACCGGCAGGGCCATGTCTCAGCAAGCCCCACTCTCAGAAGTCACTGCACTGCTGCTTCCAGCTAGGAGCTGTGGGGTGGTGGAGAC